GCCGACTGAAGCACATGAATGAAAATGAAATGACTGGCAATCAAATTTGAACATCTATTCTCTGATACACTGTTGATGATCAGTAACTGGCCACCACTAGTTTTTTTTTTTTTTAGACAACTCTTTATAATATTTTAAAAAATTATACGTATATAATATAATATATAAACAAAATAAAAATCTAATATATTTATGTTCTAGTAAAAAAATTAAAAATTTATTCTCTTTAATTTAATTATTTTTTGGAAAAATGCATTAATCTAGAATACAGAAAAAGATGATAAGCTAAATTAAATAAGAAGACGATATGTATAAGCGAGTACAACTGAGAGTCTATACGATCAATTCAATTTAATGTGTATGAGCAATAAACTAACATTTTTCTTAAGTTAATTACTTGATTTTTCACTATTTTCTTTAAAATATTATAATAAGTTAATTGATCATCTGGTTAACTCACACATTATTCGTATATCTCTTAAATACTGTAGTTTTTATATCAAAGTTCACTTATCACTCGTGTTCTACCGAATATTATATCTTTATTTGTCAATGTGTTAAACTTACCTATTACTCGTATTTCATTAAACGCTATAGTTTATCTATCAAGGTGTTAAATTTTTATTTTTCTTGTGTTCTGTCGACACAATGGTTATAAAAGTTATTTACAAACTTTTTTTATAATGCTTCAAAATAATAAGAATAAAGAAATGATAATTTTAATGCTCAATAATAGATGTACAGATGAGTAACTCAATTAGGGGCTCGACGAAGGCTCAAAAGACTTCAAGGAAAAAATTTCCTTTTCAATTTACACGCTTATGCACAATCTCCCTCTGTTTTTGAAACTTGCAGGAGGTAATATCTATAGTTAGAAATGTTAAAACAGTTATTAGTGATAATTTTAAAATTGATTTGACCTCTAACATGTAGAACAAATTATATCTGATAAACGTCAAGACACTTCTTCAACGATCATAGTCTCACAAACACTAACAGTTTAACCTTAAAATGGTAACCAATTGTGAAAAAATTATTTTGACTTAATACTGTAATTTTCTTGATATCATGTTTTTCATGACACATCTCAGCTATACTTTTCTAACACTTTCAATATTCAAAGTGATATTTTAACTCAAAAAATGAGTGTAACTCATGATAGAATATAGCGCATCACATGTCAAATCACACGAATAATTAAAAGGGTATTTTTTTGTACATTTTGAGTCGTGTTCGTGATACATTTCAGTTCTATTTTTCTGATACATTTAATATTTAAAGTAATATTCTAACTTAAAAAGTAATGAAACTCATGCTAGAATATAACACATCACATGTAGAATTAAAAGTGTATTTTTTTTTAACGCATTTTGAGTTATGTTATACTAAATCTCTCAAGTAGATTATATCAATTTCTAGAGACAATATTCTTTAAGCATATAAATATAATGTAAAGGTCCGAAACCTTAAAGGAAATGAATTTATAATTTAAATGCGGAAGCAAATAATAAAATTAGGATTTACATTCATTATATAATAATTTATGATGCCTAATAGAGTTACAAGAATGTTATTTCTAAAAATCAAACGGTAATTAAAAACAAAGCGAATAAATAAGTATCATATGACAACCTTCACTAGTACTTGAAGGGAGTCCGAATGGTGAACTACTCACAACTTTCTTGCTGATTGGGATCTAGGTCCTTATTTTTTTTATTCGAAATAGTTAATTAAAAGATGAGTTATACTAACTCAGTAAAAATATCACACTAATAACATATATGTGAAACTAAAGATTAGTAAAAATCAAAAAAATAACTAATGGAGCCATTATTTTAATTAAATACATTTAACATAAAGATATTTGTTTGATACATATCGTTACGAGTTTTCAAAAAATAATCTAGGAAAACCCATATGCATACCACTTTTTATTTTCATACATGAAAGAACAAGTGACGATAATTTTTCTTTTTTACTTGCTTATTAGTACCCCTGGGGATCCATAGGGATGTCTTCCTACTCGTGAACCCAAAATCCAATTTTAATAATTAACCGACCATCCTCATATCCTGTCCGGTAATGGGCGTCAAACATTCCATCTCCTCGATATCTCATCCAGTATAAGGGTGAGCCATATCTCCTAAATCTTTTCGATATGCGACTTCTCTATTCCATCCGACTGAGGTGACGTTCACGGTAGAGTTTTCGATGTACCGGACTCGTCTGCCTTTTCCCTTAGTACCCAATAAGTCTTTCACATAAAGATTCTCATCAAATAAAACAATCAACAAACGTATATTAATAATTTATATTATATTTATAGATCAATTAGATGACATTTATGCATACGATATATCTTATCATAATAAGATATCGAGTAACTAAATAACAGAATAAACTAGATAAATCGATAAAATAATTGAAACTATAAATTAAGAACATGCACAATACGATAATAAGCAACTAGGAAAGTATCAAAAAATAAACAGAAAATCAAGACAATTGTGAACTAACTGATTTCAGCTCCACTAGTGACTTATAATTATTTTTAGAGTTTTTTTAACTTTTTACAAAAATACAAAATTATATATTGTTAAATCTCAATTTACCGTAACAGGGAATAGGGTGAGGGATCCTTATTAGGATCGGAGTTTCAAGACGTCGTACTATTTACTACGCCTCTTAACGGGTACAAGATTTTCTGAATTTTTTTTGCGGAATCCAAAAAACTCATAACGTACATAAAAATACCCCAAAAATCTAAAATCGATGCCTAAAACTCTTTTCGGTCAATTTTGGAGTTCTAGCACAGCAGTAGTTCGCCTCGGCCTAGCTGATTTTGGCCAGTTTTGGCCAGTTTTAAATGTATTCATACAGAAAAATACGTTAGGGAGCTTCGATTGACCGAAAAATTACAAAAACCGAACCTACTGGCGGGGGAGGGGGGGTTTTGGGTGCAACAGCTCCGTCAGTCCTCCTTCGCGGCTGTGATACCTTCTTCGACTAACCTGTACAGAAAAAGACGGTGAACACAATGATAAAAAAAATCGCGTGAAATGAGAAGCGGAAAAGGATTCATCAGAGGGATTTTTTGGGTTTTAGTCATGGCAGTTCCGCTGGGTTTTACCTCCCGATTTTCAGTTTATCTGCCGTCTCTCTTGCTTCAATTTTACCACATGGATGCTCGAAATCAAATTTCGCGTGGGTGCTGTCGTAATCGTGTTTGACATGTGGCGTGCTCCGGTTCGATAGAACTGCTGACTGGGCCGTCCCACGTGGTCGAATTTTTTCTTTTTGGACTTTCACTCTCTGTTTTTAATTTTTTTTCTAAAATACCTATCGAACTCAAATTTTTTCATATATTTTTTTTAAATTATTTTCAATATCGTCCATAATTTTTTTTTTAAAAAAATTTTAATTAAATAAAAATAAAATAATTTAATAAAAAAAATTATTTCGAACTACTTTTTTGAGCCCAGATATTACAAATATAAACCGTATATATCAGCTATTAATGACCAACTAATAAATTAAATATAGAAAGCATAAATCAAATTACTCATTTTCAATTATGTCAATTTAGCAAATTATAATTAGTATTATACATATGGAGAAAACTGTATATGTGTGTGTAGGGTAGGATAGTGAAATGGCGGGACGTACGAGCGTATGCAGCCTGCTGGTTATGGAATGAAAAATGCATGTTCCACGTGCTGAATTATATATACAACTAAGATATGTATATATGTATATATATATATATACACACACACACACGTATATATATATATATAGGTTAATTTGTGTGCGTAACGTGGTTTGGTGTATACTGTTTAACTGGAGCCCACAATTACAAAACAAAGAAAAGCCACGTGCTTCAGCCCACGCCGCTTCATATATATATATATATATATGTGTATATACCTCCCATCATTCCTAACCTTCGTCAAGTTTTCTCTCTCTCTCTCTCTTTTTCTCAAATATATATATATATATATATATATATACACCTCTACAGGTATATACAAAAATATATATATACATACACATCAGTTGATTTACCGTCTTGAATCCTTCTTTACCTACCTTCTTCAACATGAGGAGAAACTGCAACTTGGAGCTTCGTCTTCTTCCTCCCTCTGATCCCCGCCATGAAATCTTCCACCTGTAAGCTCCTCTCTCCCCCCTTCTTTCTCTCTCTCTCTCTCAATATATATATGTATATTGTATACTGTGTAAGCACAGAAATCTAAAAGTTGGTTTTGTGTTTCGATCATGTGAATATTGAAGGATTAATGAAGAGATCACAAGCTCTAAAAGCCCACAAACAGAGCAGCTTACCATCTTCTACAACGGGAAGGTCTGCGTTTCCAACGTTACTGAGCTTCAGGTGTGTATCTATCTATCTATATATATATATATATTACTATATTACTATATTCCCTGATCTCCTCTTTCTAATTTATTTCTACCCATTTTCTTTTATTCTTAAGTTATTATCTATCTCTCTCTATACATATATATATATATATATTCATTTGTATATAATAAATTAGTGATTCATTTTTCTATTTTCACCAACAAATTTTTTTGCAATAATTAACAAAATAATAATAATAATAATATGTTAGAAACATTGTACTTGCCCTTTGGTTTTGGTGTTCTCTTGTCAAACTTTGAAACGGCGTCGTTTTATTAGTTGACCAGAAGGTCTTAATGATCACGTGTAAAATTCAGAATTAAGATATACATACATATATATATATATATATACATATAGTGATGGCCATTATCACGCATGCCGACAAGACTAAATTAGATTATTAATAATTATTATTTCGTAATTATACAAATTAGATTAATCTAATTAAAATATTAATTAATTACAGGCGAAAGCTATACTGTTCATAGCATCAAGAGAAACAATGGAGGAGAAACCAAGAACACCAACTGAGTTGGAGAACGGTTCGTCGACTCAGATACGAAGCAATATTGCTAATGGACTTTCCATGAAGAGATCACTCCAAAGATTCCTGCAGAAGAGAAAACACAGTATCCGTGCTACTTCTCCATATTGATGTAATAAAATACACATATATAGATATATACGTGTTCTATCTATATATATATATATATATATATATAGACAGGTGGCTTTGTAAATGGTGTAATGAAATTGGGTTCTTTGCTGCAAATCATCTTGTAATATTCTTGAATGCTTTGTTTCTTAATACTTAGATATGTTGATTGTGCTATTCTACATCTCTTAGTTCTTTTCTTTTTGTTTTTAAAATTAAATGGATGTGTATATATATATATATATATATATTGTAGGCATTAAAATTTTGATCTTAAATTATTATTTGATCAACATTTAATTAAATAAAATGAAAGTATAAGTTGTGAATCCGATTATTTTAAAATAAGGTCCGAAGAGAAAAATTTAGGATGTAATTGGAACGTGTAATACTATCATGTTTATCTTTGATTGCTTTTACGCGATTTTAGAGTTAATTTTCTATAACGAAATCGTTTTTTTTTAAATTATTCTATATAAATGCAACCCGCAATCGCTAATTACTCTATTATAATAAAACTAACTATTTTACTAGATAATAATTCAATAGATTTCTTAGGAAAACATTGTTTGTCGTGATTCTTTGAGCGTTAAATGGAACAAGACGTCTTCCTTCCCACCTTAAATATCCTTTTATATTTATTAGACTCCTCCTTATCATTTTTCGTACTTTTATTAGATCTCTCTAACTTTGTAATAAGGTATGATAACTCTATTGGGTCCATTCCAGTATCTAGCCACACATTTATTATCGAATAAGTTACAAGTACTACTTATAGTAGCGGGATACAAAACTTTTAAGATTTTTCTAAGTGTAATATATAGTATACACAACGTGTATGCAAAGGGATGCCAAATAGTCACATGCCTTACAAATGCAAGTTTATTGTCTATTATGTGCCTATCATCACCTTGAATGACCTCATAATCCTGATCAACATTCCAATCAACTCTATATTTACAGACTTGGCGTTTTCTTTTTCTAGGCTTGTCATTGCAGGGGATACATCATTCACTCATTTACTAGTATACATGATATTCACATGCAACTAATTCATCGTTGTTACCCATATGA